ACTAAAACCTCTTACCCACAGAGCTTTAAGTTGTAAGAAAAGGGCATACAATTCCTAAAACAGGTCACTTGGAGCAATAATGAAGAGGAAAGTTTTACATCTTCATCATGGGTCCCAGGTCCATGAATTCTATCAGAGATACAGCGCCATATAATTGTCATGTATATTATTACAGAAGATGGTATACCAGTCTTACAGGATATGATCCAAATCCCATTTTATAGTCTGATTTCTTGGACTACTCCTGACAACCAACTGTTTTAGGTTAGGTTCCCTGGATAACAGATTCTGAGATGGAGATATGCTGCAGGAAGTTTACTGGGAATGTATTTTGTCTCAACACCTACAGAATGGGATTGAAGCAGGATTAGCCAGAAGTTGAATTGTGCTGCCTTCATAACAAAAGCTTCAGTTGATTCCATAAGGGCCTCTGGATCTGGGATGACCCTGAAGAATTGTCCTCCACTGAGGCAGAGGGGATAAGATTCTCTACCTACATCATCCAACTTTTGGATCTGGATTGTTCCTGGGAAGTAGATATGACTTTGGGCAAGGTGGCTGTCTTCAGCAGAGGGAAGTTCTCTTCTCCCAACTTAAACTCATGATGGCTTATTTATTTGTGTATTTTGTAAATATTTTTGAGATATTTCATTAACTTAATCTGTAGGAATTTTAAGAACCTCCAAGGAAATTTTTATAAGCTTATACTACATTCTGCTTGCATTTACTTTGGCATTTCCTTGACTGGATGTGGTTATGTAAACATGAACTTCAGATTTGAGTGAGAACAGGCCAATGGTTTTATATTCTCATGGGAGAACATTACGGTTATGGTGAATTATTTTATGCCATGAGCAATTGCAGAAGAAGGCAGCTCTTCTGGTAGTTTCTCTTTGCCAGATGTCAAAGAACTAAAAGAATGAGCTTAACTGTCACTTTTGGAGATAATATAATTGTATACTTATAAGTCCCAAAACAATAAAATTTATGATATATTGTCAAGGTGGCCATGTAGAAGGTACATTTGAAAAAGTACTTGTTTCCTATACTACTTATAAGTTCCTAGAAATGGAAAGAGGACTATATTTCATATTTGAAAACAAAAAGTGCCACATATTTAAGAAAAAATTTAATAAAAAGGCACTGAATCTGTATGAAGAGCTGACCTGAATAAAGGAAAACACATATATTGAGGCTAAAATTTTGACTTTAAAAAAGCTATTTTAAAAAAGTAATTATGTATATTGTGTGTAATTTCAATTTGAATTTCAACAGGTTTTTGGTGGAAATTAGATAAAATATGTTAAAATTTATACAGAAATTGAATTGAAATAGATAATCATATTTTTAAAAAGAATAATAGTATTATAAGAGAAGAAGCAAATATGGTAGAATGTTGACAGTAGGTGAAGGCACAGGGAGGGTATGTTGAGGTTATTACAACATTTTCAAAACTTCTGTGTAGTTTTAATAGTTTTTTGAAAATAAAAGATTTTATTCATCTGCTAAGAAAAAGATAATAACAAGGAAAACTTGCCATACCAGATAGAACATACTAAAATACCACTGCAATTAAATCAGTAAGGCATTGGTGTTAGAATAGACAAATATGGAATTTGAACAGAACAGGGAACCTGGACAGAATTGCAGATGGATTAAAAATTTTGAACTGAATATGATTGCAAAATTATATATATATATATATATATATATATATACACACACATATATGTATATATGTACAATAATTAATAGCAACATGGACAGATATATTGTTAATATATAGATTGTTAATATAGGTTAATTGGATAATGTGAGACAGGGGAGAAGTGAGGAGGGAGAGGGAAGCCCATCCACAAAGGAAAGGAAAATGTACAACATTAACCAAAAATAAAAAATTGTAAGTTTCTATTAAAGATGTTGATGTAAAATTATGTAAAGATATGTTTATTTAAAAGCAAGAATTTTATAATTTAAAAATAAAAAATATATTAAGATTTGCACAGAAATTTCATTACCTTCTTGGTAATTAGATGTATGTTTGTTTTAGCTAACATTCAATTAAAAAGGTAAAAATCATTTTAGTTAGTATATTTTAAAATAAGTTATGTATTGTAATTTAAATGTACATGTTTGCATTTTTTGTTGGTACTATTCCCAACTCATACAAGTGAATTAATGGTTCATTTAAGCATAAAATAGCTGGGTTCAGTGGTGAACTCCTATAATTCCAGTTGGATGGGGAGACTGAGGCAGGAGGATCACAAGTTCAAAGCCAGCTTGGGCAATCTAGCAAGGTCGTGTCTCAAAATAAATAAATAAAAAGGGTTGGGGATGTTATTCAGTAGTAGAGTGCTTTTGGGTTCAATCCCCAGTCAAATATGAGTGTGCGCATACACACACACACACACACAACACACACAAACATGCATGCAAAAAGCGGTTATAGAAGCAGCAATTCAAATAATTTAAAAACAAGATTACATAAATTGAGAGCAGGGCTTCATTGTGGAACTATAATGTGAATCTATGAAACGCTTTGAAATTACTTTTTTACAAGCAGCCAAAAAATAAAAGTGCTAGTAGAAATCACTTCTTCAAATCTTAATTGATTTAACTCTAGTACAATTAAGCATTTGTGTAAAATTTGGGTTTCAAGTCCAAGATCTAACCTTTTCGTCTACCTAGTGATAGTTTTCCTGAGTTGTGGGATGAAGTAGAACATGGTAAGTATACTGACTGTAAGAAGTAGTTATCCATATTATCATGGTCCTCAAGATGCTCCCTCCAAATGATAGCCCTAGGCTCTCTCAATAAGCTACCACTCTCCTATAAACAGGTTGTAGATGGCAATATATTTTGAAGCAGAAGCTTCTGTTTCCTTGATTTCTAGAAGTCCTCCCAAAAGATGATTACTGTTTTTAGAAACCTGATTTTTATCACAGCACTTGAGAGAATGAACCTATTCTACTAATGTATTTTTGAGAAAAGCTAGGAAAGGATGTTGTAAACACCTCTTCATTATTTTGATTTAGATTTCATCCTCCAAGCAGAGGACCCTAACTAAACCTCTAAAGGGAGGGAGATTTGGGCAGGAACATTCCTCCATTAGCTGTGCTGACGTCTTTCTCTATACTTCCTCTTTCAGTGCTATGATCATTGTTTGTTGTTCTCCTTTGGACTATCTCCAAGAATCTAAATCTTTTTCTGAATGTTTGCAACTATTCCTATTAGACATCTTCTAGCCTCTTTTTCAGATGACCCAGATACCCTGTTTGACAAATATTTCTAGAGAAATAATGGTTCCTCTTGCCTGAGGTACATTTGTTTTCTTTTCTGGCCTGTATGCTGCCTTTTATTGCTTACAGGGAAGGGCAGAGATATAATCAAATTATAGGCAAGCAGGTAGTTGCCTTAGGTCTTGACTTGACAGAAAGTGTAGAAAGGCCCTGTGATTACTGATACCCTGAGCCCCTGGTTTATTCTGTCATAGGTACTTAGTCCATAAGCCAGGGAAAGAGGTGTTTTACACCAGACTCCATTATTGACAAGTCCTCAGGACTAGCATTTCTTAACTGACCCTCTCCCACGTGGCTGAAGGTCATCCTCTCATCTGTAGCCATATTCCTGACAAAACTTGTTTCTGTTCTTGTCATCCACCCTTTCAATGTTTGGGGTAGAATGGAGGAGAAAAGCAGAGGCAGCACTTTCGCTGCATTTCTGAACATGCATCTCTTTTCTATCAGTTTTTCCTGCTTATCTCTTATCTCACATCCTCTGCACTAGTTTCACTCATGCCACTTCAGACGCTGATTATCCAGAGTATAGAAGATGGGATGAAAAGGAGAAGAATTTTTCTGACTCTGAAGACTTGTAAATGATAGAAATATGGAAGACTTACAGTTTGTAAATCTTAAATAGTATGGCTGGGATGAATTCCCCCTAAAATGTAAAAAATTGGGATAAAGAATATAAGCCCTGGTATGAAGGAGGGGACTGCCACCACAGCATAAAGCTTGATATCAGTAAATTTAAAGAATTATTCAAAACTAATACCTCCACTCTACTTCCTCGGGGATATTCACTTTATAGCTTAGATTTAGGAACTTGTTTTACAGCCTTCAGATAATTCTTTGTCCAGTCTTAAAGTGCGTAAAGTCCAATCTCCTCACTGTCTTGGGTTCACCTCTTTCTAACTTTCTATGACCAACTCTGAGGTTATCTATAACTTCTATCCATATCTATGAGTAAAACTATAACAAGCTATTAGTCTTGGCTTGACACATTGTCTTAATTAATAGAAGTGTGGTATCTATTTATTTATGGCAGTGGTGATTGCGGGTGGAAAACCTGATGATAGCTCATGGGATGATATTTTCATACATGCTTTTCAAATTATTCACCTTCCTAAATAGGAAGTCTTGGAAACCAAATTATGTTTTATTCTCATAGTCTATGTTCTTATGTTCTATCCTTATTTCTGAGCTCTCATCCATCAACCAACATATCAAAGGATTCCTTATTCCATGGCTATGTTGACCAGACAAGTGCCTGGAATGTGATAGCATATACTACATTTCCAATTCTGTGTGCCTTTAGTTGGAAGAGAGGAGCTGCATTTTCTGATTGCCTCACTTGTATTGACCCTAAATCCCTCTCTGTTCTTAAAGTAGGCCATGGATATCCTGCTTCCTAGAACTAACCCTACAAGAAACAAAGGGATAAGCACAGCCAAATAGGAAACAGGATCATGTTTGGAACTCTCTGTTGGCAGAGAACAATACTTGGTATTGACTAGATATTGGGGGAAGGGAAGGAAAAGGATAAAATTATGGAAGGAAGCTGGCAGGTTCAGTGTTTCTGGTCTTGGCATGACTAATCTCTCTTCATCCTCTTCCTGGATACAGGGCTTGGTGCCAGGGCTCCTGAGATTTTCTACATACATAAAAGGAGGTGAAGCTAAGTGGTGCCCCTATTTCAGGTTCTTGAGGGCAGCCAAAATGAAGTCCTTTGTCTCTCTGTTCTTGATGAGCATCTTGTTCCCTGCCATGCAGGCCAAGCTATATACAAAATGTGAGCTGTCCGAGGTTCTGAAAGACATGGATGGCTATGGAGGCATCACTATGCCTGAATGTGAGTTCCCCATTTCCTTTCTTCATCCTAGTTTTCATTTGTCTCTCCTCCATCCACTTTTTTATCCTCCACTTTTGATTAATTAACTAAAATTTATTATATTCTTTATTATTTGTGTCTTCTTTTATTCAATTTGTTCTTCTATCCTTCTTTTCTCCCATTATCTGATCCTTTTAGGAACTCTCTTTCTCATCTAATCAGGATACCCTATGCTTTGCCATCTTTGGAAATTGGCTGGAAAGTCTTTTTTTCCATATGGAACAGGTCTTATTATGTTGATATTAAACATTTCTGTGATATCTCTTTCTCATATTTCCCTCAGGGGTCTGTATCATATTTCATAGCAGTGGTTATGATACACAAACCATAGTAAAAAACAATGGCAGCACAGAATATGGACTCTTCCAAATCAGTAATAAATTTTGGTGTGGGAGTAGCCAGAATTCTCAGTCAAGGAACTTCTGTGACATCTCCTGTGACAGTGAGTAGCCTTTTACCCTGTTCCTCTGTTTTTTTGGAGCCTGCCCCTGGGATAACCTTGTGGGTGTTAACTATACCTTTGGCTTCACTGCCTTGGTTGGAATTCACAAAAACTGTGTGACTTAAAGTGATTATGATAAGTAAGAGGTTGTTTGCATTTTTCATGATCACGAAGTCCCAAGATAGTCCAGGGGATAGAAAATCTAAGCTGTCTGGGAGTTTTAAAGTTTTATATTCTGCATTCTCAGGGTATCAGTTAATGAAATTGATGATTTCTCTAGAGATGTCCCAGGGAAATGAAGGAAATCCCTACCCATGGAGAGGCATTACTGTATTGGCCTTTTCATATACAAAGTCAGGCACAAGCCTTCAGTTCATAGAACAAGATCCACTGGATCCAAGGAAAAGAGGAACTCATTACTTTCCTGGGTAGTACTTCTCATCTCTCTCATTCTTTCCTTCCAATTCCTGCCAGAGTTCCTGGATGATGACCTTACTGATGACAAAATGTGTGCCAAGAAGATCCTGGATCAAAAAGGAATTGACTATTGGTGAATCCCCATCCTATTTTTTGCCTCCTTCTACCCCCTTCCTCTTCCCTTTTAGCCCATTGCCACTTTCTTCATTCTAGATCTCCTGGTCATTTAATCTAGAATATAGTCTCCTAAACAAAACTCATCTAACAGACTCAAGTTTCACTTTTTAAGCTTCCTTTGCTGCACTTCTAACAGCTTTCCTAATAAGGGGTCTCCCTAGTGGAAGGTTGATACCCTGGCCTCCCTTTACCTGGCCTTGGATTTCTATTCCACTTTTTTAATCCTATATCATAAATTAATCCCTGTTATCATTGCATATTTTTTTCTAATCTTACAGTTCTCTTGGGTTTAACAAATGAACCCTACCCACTAAGATGATATAGCACCCCTTGCTATCTGTCTAGGAAAGTCATTCTGTAATTCTCATGCATATTCTTCTACCTCAGTACTCCTGAGGAAATTTGAGCCAAGATATGGTCAGCTCAGTGATTATATATCTGGAGCTTTTTGGCTAAATGGAATTTTGAGTCAACTCACCTTGTCCCTTTCTTCATTGCCAGGTTGGCCCATAAACCACTCTGCTCTGATAATCTGGAACAGTGGAGCTGTAAGAAGTTGTGAGAATCTGCTGTCTTTGCCATGTTCCACCCTTTCTATGCTCCTGGAACTCCTCTTCCCTAATGCTACCTCAGTTCACCTCTTTCTACCCTCCTGAAGCTGATTTGTTTCTGAGCCCTGGACCCTGTTGTGACACCACTGTACTCTTGAGGACTATTCTTCAGGGATGCCTGACTGGTGCACTGGACTTTAGATCCTTGCTCTGTTCCCCTGATGGCATGTTCACTACAGCAACAGATCCTGCCTCTGTCCTGAATAAAGGGCCTGATTTGGAATGCCTTGTTGTATTTTCTTCCTACAGGAAAAGGGAGAAAATAGGGTGAGTGAGGGCATATTGAAGCATAAGTCAGAGCCAATTTCCATCTCTACTGAAGAAGTAGCCTTTATTTACCACAGAAATTGATACTTTCTGTACCAATTCAACAAAATTTAATTAGTCATATAATATTTCAAGGAACCACAGCAGGATTCTGAGTTGCTGTGTCTCATCTCTCTAATAGGAGAGACAAGATAAACATTATTAAATAGTTATAATATAAGAAATAATATGTTATAAACATCACAAGGGAGATTAAAAGTGTGTCCTGGGTATTCAAAAGAGGAAAGAGCTTATATTTGGGGGAATGCAGGAAAAAGGGATCAAGAAAGGATTCATGGAAGGCATGGAATTTGAGCTGGTTTTGAAGTGCAGGTGGGCTTTTGACAGATGGAGATTTTTGTGGAAAAAAAGAATGGCAGGGCTCTGAGATTCTGAAATGGATAGATTGAGGAGGTTGAGGGTTTTACTTATCTTTCAAAAAGAGCTGTGAAAGGAGCTTCCTTTGATCTAGAGATCAAAGTTATAATGGAGATCATTATGTGTGGGAGGCCATCCTCGCCTGGGATTTGAGTTACCTCCCTGGCTGGGTGAGAGGTGTTTAGACACAGCGGTGTTAAAGCCTTCCCCACCCTTTCCCAGGTCTGAGGGCTTGTCCGTGCAGAGGCGTGCCTGGCCACTGACCTGAAAACCCAATCATCTCTCCTGACCTTGGGATGCTGCCCCCCTTATCCTTCATTGGATGAGATTTTCCCTGGAATTTTTTTGTTCCCCAATAAAAGCCCACTCCCTGGCGTGTTCTCTCTCTCGCTGGTCTCTTCTGTAAACCTTGCCGCCGCATTAGGTGGCTGGAGGCGGGAGCTAGGAGAAGCCGTCTCCGGCTGGTATTAAAGGTAATGAGAGTCGGTCTCTTTAATTTAAAACTCCCTAGTAATTTCTTATGAACCGAACCTTCTTTCATGAAGCCAGTGCTTGTCGCGTGGCAGAATTATGGGCAGCTCAACAATTCTTAAAACTTATATATTTGGGGCTTTTTGGATTGATCCTTCCACTCCATTTCTCTCCCTTGTACTTCACGCATTTTAAAGGGAATGTCTATAGAACTTTATCATTTATGCTAATGATTATGGGATGTATGGAAGAAAAATCAGGAGATTTGATTCTTACAGTTTGTGCTACTCACTGATGGTCTGAACATGGGCAGGTCATCTCAGTCTTCTGTGTCACAATTTCCTCTTCTGAAAATGAGGGTTCTGGTCTAGATGCCTTTCTGAGATCTCTTTCTGTTTTGACAATCCAGTATTCCAACTACAATTCATTTTACCCCTTTTATGAATTAGTAGGGAATAAGGATCACATCTTCTTTCCCTCCTCCTTGCCTTCCTAAGATATCTTATGTTGCTCATTACACTTTTTCCACCCTAATGCCCTTCGGGGCTTTAGGCAATCAGATCATATTTTCTTTGTGTTAGAACCATCAGCTCCCAAATGAAGCCCCCTTGTTTAGGGAACCTGTAGTTCTATACAAGGGGTGGGGAGGCCATTCTCTCTATATCTAATGAAAACAAACTCTCAGGAAATATTTTGATATTAGTCATATTATTTTAGTGTGACTTTAAACACAATGTGATATATTTCATGTTTTCTACCTAATTATGAGATGAAATGTTTTCCCAGGTCTTCAGGGTTTCAGGCATGCAATGTGTTGTGGTTTGGATATGAAGTATCCTCCAAAAGGCTATATGTTGGAAACATGATATTCAGTGTAGCAATGTTCAGAAGTGAAATGATTAATTAGCTTGTGAGAGCTATAGGCTCATTAGTGGGTTAATCCATTTGACGGATTAATAATTTGAATGGATGACTAGATGGCAACTGTAGGAAGGTGGGATGTGATTGGAGGAAGTAGGTCACTGGGGGTATACCTTTGAACTTTATATTGTCCCTAGCTCCTCTCTTATGCTCTGCTGAGAAGCTTTCTCCCACCAGGATGTTCTGCCTCACCTCAGGCTGAGAGCAACTGGACTCAAATGTTGGCCAATCATGAACTGAATCTCTGAAACTGTGAGCCCAAAATAAATTTTTCCTCCTCTAAGTTGCTCTTGTCAGTTATTTTGGTCACAGTGTCAACAGACTGAATAATGTGATGTATGTGAAGTGGCAGAGTTGGATGAACATTCTGCCCACTGAGTTCACACATGTACTTCTTACTTGTTGGTGGGCCACAGCTATTGCCTCAGAAGACTATCTCTGGAAACATGAGGGACCAAGTCCACCAAGTGGTTGGGGTAAGATTGCCACTAAAGCTGGGATTGTGCCAGCCAGCACCATAGTCCTGGCTGTATAAGTCAATTTTGTGTTACTATTCAAAATATCTGAAGCACCTCACTTACAAAGAGAAAAGTTTTATTTAGCTCACAATTTTGGAGGTTCAAAGTCCAAGATTGGGGGCACCAATTGGTTTGGCCTCTGGTAAGGTCTGTGGATGACAGCTGCCTTCACCTCCTTGTTCTTCAGGCTGTAGATGAGGGGGTTTAGCAGAGGGATCTATCTCATTCCCCCTTCTCTCTCATTCACTGCCCCCACACCATTTATCTAACACAACTTATTAGGTGGCTAGATGCACTAGAAATTGTGGACCAGAGCTACTGGACAGAGGTTCTGCTCTCAGGACACTTATAATTTCCAGGGGGTTATTCACCTCTACCCATTTCCTAGGATCCCGCAAGAAAAAGGTCTCTTCAGATGAATCCATCACTCATTCCTTCATTTATTCCTTAAGTTGTCCACAAATCGTTATTAAGGATTTTCTAAGTTCTACCTTAGGTGCTACTTTTTCTTAGAAATGAAGGTAAGAAGACACATACATACTTTGTTCTATTTCCTGCCACATTATTATGGATATGTAGTTCTTGCACAGGGATCTTTAGGGATGGGAATAGAAGGAGAGTTAGATTTTCCACCCAAGATGGGACTTTCCTAGAATGCAGTGGGATATTTGCTGGTGACCTGATATATTGATTTTCATTTTGTGCATAGAGAAAGGTAAAGGAGGAAAGGGAAGAGGAAAAAGGGAAATGGTAGAGAGGACAATAAATATGAGGAAAGATCAATAGCTGTCAAAAAGGTCAATGATGCCCCGAGGATTTTCTTGTGCAGTGAGTGGGCCCCCTTGGATGATGTCACCTGCTCCGTTGTGGGGGTTTCCTCATATATCTTCATTAGGGACAGGGCAATAGAGGAAGAGAAGCTAAGTCTTCTGTTTTAGAAAATGATGAATGCTGAGATAGCTCAGTGGTGACAGTTCTTCCTGCCTTCATCTTCCTCCCATAACGTTTTCTCCTGGTGAAGTAGGGGAGTCTGGGTTAGAAGGTCAGCCTGGACTTCCTGGCCAGTGTCCTCTTAAGAGCTGCCTTCACCTCCTTGTTCTTCAGGCTGTAGATGAGGGGGTTTAGCAGAGGGGTCACCACACTGTACTGCAAGGATAGCACTTGCTCAGGGTTGAGCCAGATGCTGGAGTCATATACCTTGTAGGGAATTGCACAAAAGAGCAAACTCAGCTCAGGACAATGGCCATAACACACTTGGCAGCAATGGTTCTTCTCATCCCTTCCAATTCTTCAAAAGGAGTCTGCAGTGCTGAGCCAGCTATTATTGGTGGTAGCACCTACAGATGACTGTTTGATCAATGAAGAGTCAGTCATTTGTTTTTGAGGGGGGGATGTACCAAGGACTGAACCCAGGGGCACTTGAACATTGAGCCACATCCCCAGCCCTATTCTGTATTTTATTTAGAGACAAGGTCTGAGTTGCTTAGTGCCTCACTGTTTTTGAAGCTGGTATTGAACTTGTGATCCTCCTGCATTAGCCTCCCAAGCTATTGGGAGAGTCAGTTATTTCTGAATTCAAATGCCTCTAAATATGGTGGATCCCAAACAGAAAGTTATTGGAGTTGCCCAAGAGGATAAAAAGTTCTGCAGCATATCAAGGACCACAGGTTAGAATAGAATAAAATAATTCCATGCATTTCCATAGGAATTATTCTCTTCAAATCATATTGCTTAATAGTTATGATGATGAGATATGAGTTTTTCTTTTTTCCTTTATATGCGCAAACACACTATGTTCTAACTTTGTGGGACTGTTCCTTGTAAAACTGTATGTTTAGTTTAAATGCTGCCATCATATCCAACACTTATGGCTCTGAGAATTACCCTCACAGTCATGGCATATTACTTTTATAATGCTAAGTGGAACAGACATTTATTCTTTTAGTTGCATTTTCTTTGGTTTGGAAAAGAAACCAAGACTGGTAAATGAAGTTGGAGATAAAAATATGTTAAGCAAAAAGTATGATTACAAAATTTTAATTTTGGGAATACCCTGATTAATATCATTAGGGCTATTTCCCAAAGAATCATGGCTACTATTTTTTTTACTTAAAAAAATTTTTTTTAGTTGTCTATGGACCTTTATTTTTATTTACTTACATGCAGTGCTGAGAATTGAACCCAGTGTCTCAAACATGCTAGGCAAGTGCTCTACCACTGAACTATAATCCCAGCCCTATGTTTTGGAATTTTTTTAGTGCTAATCTGTTTTGTTTTTTGTTATTTCAAAATAGTTATACATAATATTGGGGTTCATTTTGATATGATTATATAAGCATGGAATATGATTTGTTCCA